ACACAAACATGAAAATGCCCCCCACTTATAAAAATTTATACAAATATATTGAGATTTTACCAAACGGTTTGTAAAAGTGTCGGAAGAATTACGTTTTCCTAGCCCGTCACCTTTTTACTAGGGGTAATTGTAGAAAAATTTTCCTTTGGGGATGCCTTAACTTTTTTAGCTAAATTTCGGGACTAGCTTGTACACAGTTTTAAGAGTATTTTTTCGTGTTTTAATTTATTATAATAAAAATTAAAAATATTATAAGGTAAAATTTCACAAACTTTTACAAATGACAGAATGAACAAAAAATGGAGCACTATTAATACCGTCTATTTCGCCTGACCGAGTGATCGTCCAAAAACCAGTTTTTTTTGTTTGTTTCCCTTTGTCGGGAGCTCGGGTATCATTAAAAAGTTGTATATTACGTTAATAACACATTTTCATTAATCCACCCGGATATTTTTTTTAAAAATTTTTAAAAAAAATAAACACGATACATAAAAAATAAATCCATAACAACATATGTGTTAAAAACCTAGGATAACCCAAAAAAGTCAGATGCCCTTTACTTCCATTCCTTACCGAGCATCATTTCTTTTTAAAAATGAGGTTACAAAGAGAAAGGGGGTGTTCTTCTTTATTAAATTTTAACCCTTTTCAATGTAGAAACAACCGTACACAATGTAACTTGGGACACAAACCAGGGCGTGTACACGTTTTTCAAAACTTAACCCCCGCCGTTTGTTTACAAAAAACTCTGCCCGGGCCTCTTCATGCACTCATTTCTTTTTTTTCTGGGATGGGGAGCCTGGCTGACTACCAAAAAATACCACACTTGATTTTTTACAATAAAAACCCACTCCTCTCGCCCTATATTTTAAGGTAAGTTAAAAGTGAATTGGGAATACATTTTACGCTCTTTGGGGTGCTTAAATTTTCATAGAATAGTATTTGTGGGTGGGGTGCCTGGTATGGGACCTTTGGGTGACACCATACAATAAACCCCAACTTGAATTCTTACAATAAAAAACTACTTGTCCCCACCCTTTGATTTTAAAACTATAAATATTTTAAAAGGGAAAAAAGATGGGACTAAAGTGTGGAATTTTACTTTTTTATTGTTTTTTGAGCCTGGGGTTCCCATTGGGAAAAAAAATATATTTGTGGAAAAATTTTTATCTATGGGTTTTTATGCATTTGGGAAGTGGAAAAAAAGGGTTTTCCACTTTTGGCGGTAGCCTGGGAAACCCAACCCGGGGCCCTATTTAAATGGGGCCGTCCTGTATATGGGGAAGGAGAAAAAACAAGAAATAGAATTTAATAACACTCGGGGGTTTTTTTGTCCCCATTCACGTGTGAAATTTTATAGTTATACAGGCATGGAATACAGCCTCTCCTCACTTTGGGGACTTGCCATTTAAACCCACCAAATCAGACTTACAACGGGTCTCTGAACCCAGCCTGCATATTAAAAGAATGACATGTAAATAGAGCCCGATTTCCCCATTCTGTATTTCAAAAATAAAAAATTTAAAAATTACTACCCCCGAAATGTTTTAAAAAAAGGGGCAAAGGTGACATTTAAAAAAATCAAAGAAGGTTGACACAAACCCTAACCAAATTTTATAGGGTCCTAAAAAACCACGACGTGGTCTTAAAGGAAAAGAAACTTTCCCTCAAGTGTTGAGAAGGGTGTATTGGGAAAACAATATTTTTTTTTTCAACAAAACCCGCCATATTCCAGAGAGGGGAGGGGGACCCTAAAAAAAAAAAAAAAAGAGAGTTTACTTCTTAAATTCAGTTTAAATTTTAAAAGGGGGGGGTTACTACCCCCTTGCCCTTTCCCGGCATTTAGTTGGGTCTTACGATATGCCGGCTTACGGAGAAGAATTTTGTTTTCCCCTTCTCCTTGAAGAGGAAATAAACAAGAACAAGAACTATTAAGAAAAATGAAGAAAACCCAGTGGGGGTTTTAATAAAGAGTGTACATGTATGTTACATGAACACATACATTAAAACATGTGGTACACCCTTGGGATGTTTTTTGTCCCCACACACAACCAAAAAAGAAAAAACATGCCATAAAGATTATAATATATATATATATTTGCACACTTACGAGGCTTTTTAATTTTCTTGGTGGGTGCTTTTCCCTTTTTGCTTAATCATGTCCTTCAGCCCGGTAGGGAAAACTTTTCAAAACAAATTTTTGAGGGTTTTTGGGGGGGGTATATTATTCCATCCTTTTATGTAGAGCAGCCTCCACCACGGGGTGGGGAAATGTACCTTGCCCAGTAAACCTCGTTTCACTATTACCCAGAGGTTTTTCAATAGGGTTTTGGTCTAGGAATTGCCTGGGGCCCAAACATTTAAGGAACCTCACCCCAATTTCCCAAAAACCCCTGAACTACAGATTTGGGGGTATGACACAGTGCCCCCATCCTGGCATCAAAAAAACCCTAGGGCCCCACCCATTGTCAAACGCTTCAGGTAAATTTTCCAACCAACCCAGGTAATTATACTGGGTTTATATACCCGGATTTTTGGGGAACACAATGAAATTCCACCCAAAACTCCCAGACGAAAACCAAATCCCAAACCATGAGCGAGTCTGGGGTTTGGTGGTCCCCACGGTGTAAACCTTTTGGCCCAGGGGTTTTACTACCTCTGGGGGCCCGTACATGGCCCCCCCACAAATTACGGTACAGTGAAAAGGGTTTGGGGTTTTTCAAAATTTACTCCAAAGTAACCTACAACCCCTGTTTAGGCCCCCCGAAGATATTTCTTTGCATAATTCCCCCCCCTCATTTCTTCTGTGGGGTTGTAGAGGATTGGGGTTTTTTAACCTGACGGTGGGGAAAAGTAGGCCCAATTCTAACACACGCTGTTTTAAAATTTCTTTCAGATACCTCTGAGAGAAGATGTGGGTTTTTTCTTTCAATTCTCTTTGCAGTTACTTAGGGGGTACTCTCTGCTTTTTTAACAAGGGTTTAAGGGAAAAACCAGATTTCCTTCGAGGGGGCCCCCGGGGCCCCGGGTTTGGGAGGAAAAGGGAAATCGAACACCCGCCACCAGCCTTTAAAAGCACACTCATTCCTCACTGAACCTCACACACCCAACATTTTTCCACTATTTTTTTCGTCTGGTGCCCAAATTTTTGAAAACCCAAAGATTTGACTATAGCTTTTAGGTGGTTTTAAAAACTTCCTTTAAAAAGGGCCATAATTAAACATGAACTTGCTAAAATACAGACATACACCCCATATTAATTTTTGCCTACCCACATATACAGAACTTTTAAAATTTCCCCTTAAACTACCCTTGAAAGTTACAAAGGAAAAGAAAAGGGGGGGGGGGGGGGGGGGGGGGGGACAAAACAGGCATAAGGCAGTCTTCCATCCCTCATTCCCGCCCCCAACCCGTATTTCAAAAACACTATGCAAATAAAGGGGCCCCAAGATCTGGGGAAATCGCTATTTTGGGAAAGGAAATTACCACTGGGCTAATTTAAATTTTGGACTTTGCTAAAACATCATCTTATCTCTAAAACTAACCAAAAACAAAACCCAAAAAAAATGCTAATTCCTTATATAAGTGACCTCTAGGGCTTTTAAACTTCTGCCAAATCCATGAAATATTACTTCCTGAAACCTTTTTTTATAACAAATTTTTTTTATTAGTGCACCTTCAGGGTTTTTTGTTAAAACCTCCACTTGACTTCCTTGCCCTTTAAATATTTTTGGGTTTAAAAAAATTGTAATCGTTTAAACCCTTTCTTCTTTTTCCCATTTAAGTAGGGTTTGTACTTTCTATTTTCTGTCTAGGTTTTTTAAGTAGTTATTATGTAAGGGGGGGGGTTTCCGGGCCCCAAAAGTCCCCGGGTCATAGTGAATTTTTTTGTTTCTTTAGCAAACCAAAATTGGGGGTTACACATTGTAACCCCTTTCAAAGAAAAAAAACTTTTTTCTTTATCTTTTCATGTTTAGGCCCCAAAACCAAAGGGAACACTGGACAAAAGATGGGGTGGATGAGAGAAGAAAGTCCAACACCCTTCCCCTCACCAAAGCAGCCACATGAGCACTGCCGAGTCACTGTGGGGTGTGGGGGGCAAGCCTTTGACACATGGGAACGGCTGCCCCAGGGATAATGCCCCTGACCCAAAAAAAAAACCCCCCTGGGATGGTAGGGGCCCTTTTATTTTTGCAAAGGCATTAGGGCCCGGGGGGCTTTGCCTGGGATAAATTTCCGTGGGCTAGGGACTGTAGTGGACCTAAGTCCAGTAGAAGTAGCCCAAAATATACCGGTTTGCCCCAAATTTTTGGGGAAAGAAAAAGACACTTTCAAAAACCTTTCCCTCATGTAAAACAATTTCAGGTTTCTGTTTTTTCACCCCACAAGGGAGGGTGGGATTTCCTCCCCAGGGGGGTGAAAATAAAATATATTAGTATCAAGTGTGTCTTAAAAGGGGACCAAAATGCCAAAGGGGCAAGGGGCAAAAAACTGCTCCCCTGGTTTTAAAATTTACTAAATTTAAAAAGAAAAACTTTTGTTTTTCTTTTTAGGGCACCTGCCTTGGGGGATATGGGTGGTTTATTGAAAAAAAAAAAAAAAAAAAATTAGGATTCCCCTGGAGAAGTGGAGACAAAGATTCCTCGTAAGGGCCCTGTGGGGTTGTAAGAGGAAAAATAAAATGCCATGAGGGAAGAGGCTAGTAAAACCCCCTTGTGTATAAATTAAATAAATATAAAAAAAAAACTTTTTTTTTTTTTTTTAATTTTTTTTCCTCCTCAGGGGAAAAAGTGGGGAAAAGGAAAAAAGAAACCTTCCCCTGCATGTGTCAAAAAAAGGGGGGGGGTTTAAATTGGGGGGAGAGCAAAGACTGGGAAACCTCTTCTCCGTATAAATTAAATAAATGTAAAAAGAAGAAAAACTTCTGTTTCTTCTTTTTTCAGGTTACCCTGTCTCAGTGGGAGACACCCAGGGTGTTAAAAAAAATTATTAGGATACTACTATCTATTAATATTACTATACATTCTGAAACCTTTTATCTTTACTGTTCCTACCTCAGTGATGATACAGCCTACACTCCAAATATCTGCAGGCAGTCCTGGTCTCTCTAAAGGTAATGTACTTCTTCCTGCTTCTGTCACTCTGCCATTCCACTGTACACATTCTGGAGCCTGATAACCTGGTATTTACACATAAATGTGTAAGTCATCCTTACAGCTAAATTACCGAAAAACATGCATACTTATGGCTTACTACAAGTCTCATGAGACATCAGTATGACACAATAAGAGACTAGAAGTCCACTGAAATGAGAATCTCACTAAAGTATGAGAGCAACAAATTGTGTAAGGAGTACTAGGGACTTAACTAGTATCTGTGCAAGTGCAAGTTCACACATATATCAACTTAGCCACAGAGTGTACACCAAGTATTGGCCACCAAGTATACACCAAGTCTCTGTGTTGGTAGCCCACACTGTTGCTTAAGTGTTACCCCTTTCACAATTCTTACCTTCATGATCTGGTGAAATTTTCATTTCCTGGACATGAGTGATGAACAACTGATCTACTTCTACATTCACAAAGCTCATATGCTGCTGGAATTGCTATGTGAGAGGATTAACAGCTGGTCCTACCAACACAAAGATCTTTTGGTACACCAAAATACTTTGAGAGACAGCATCTTTTCCCCCCAAAAAACTCAGAAAATTAGATTTACCAAAAAATCCTTCTTGACCTGCACTGTTCTAATCAGTCATACATTAAGGATGAAGTTAGGTACCTGAGTTGAAAGAATGATGGAACAAGAACAATATCAGATGAAAGACAGGTTTCAGGAATTGTTCAGCAAAATAAAGTATTATTAGGATAATGAATTGTTGTCAGGATTACATTAAGGTAAAGTGTTTTTTAATAGTAGCTTTGATGTGGCTGGCAGATAAACTCTGGAATCTTCAGGCAGAGACTTCCATATTTTAGGTCCTTTTATGCAAACTGAGTTTTTACACAGGATGTCAGACATGTGGAATATTACAGAGATTTTTGTGTCTGGTATTATGCCCATGAGTTCTGTTGCAGCTATCAAGAAAGAGTTTCAGGGCAAGACTGACAGAAGAATTGATTGCCCTGTACATGTAGTATGCACAGAAGTATGAGTGAATTTTATGTATATTAAGTAAGTTTAGACTTTTGAATAGTAGGGGTGTGTTGTCTAGCACTAGACTAGGTGATCATTTGTACAGCCACTCTTTGTTATGCAATTATTGGCTTAAAGTGATTTGCTGTAGTGGATCCCCAAGCACAAATAGCATAGGTGAGGTAGGGACAGATTAGAAAGTAGAATAATGTAAGTAGTGCTCTTTGAGGTATAGTAGGGGCCCCACTTTACAGCATTTCACCTTACGGCATTTCACTAGTGTACAGACATTTCAAATTACGACCAAAATTCGTTATATGGTTCCCCCCCTCACCTGACTCGCTAATACGGCCTCCGCACACCACTGTTTGTTTATACCTTCTTTCTTCTTTCAATGCACCAGCCATATCCCACCAAGGCGGGATGGCCCAAAAGAAAAAACGAAACTTTCTCCTTTTACATTTAGCAATACTGTATATACAGGAGAAGGGGTTACTAGCCCTTTGCTCCTGGCATTTTAGTTGCCTATGACACACATGGCCTACGGAGGAAGAATTTTGTTCCACTTTCCCATGGAGATAAGTGGAAATAAACAAGAACAAGAACTAGTAAGAAAAATAGAAGAAAGCCCAGAAGTGTATGTATATATATGCTTGTACAGGCATGTGTATGTGGCCTTAATGTAAGTGGAAGTAGCAAGACGTACCTGAAATCTTGCATGTTTAAGAGACAGAAAAAAGACACCACAATCCTACCATCATGTAAAACAATTACAGGATTCCATTTTACACTCACCTGGCAGGACGGTAGTACCTCCTTGGGTGGTTGCTGTCTACCAACCTATTACCTACAATAATTATACTTCTTTCTTTCTTTCTTTCAACACACCGGCTGTATCCCACCGAGGCAAGGTGGCCCAAAAGGAAAAACAAAAGTTTCTCCTTGTACATTTAGTAATATATATAGGAGAAGGGGTTACTAGCCCCTTGCTCCTGGCATTTTAGTCGCCTCTTACAACATGCATGGCTTACGAAGGAAGAATTCTGTTCCACTTCCCCATGGAGATAAGAGGAAATAAACAAGAACAAGAACTAGAAAGAAAATAGCAGAAAACCCAGAGAGGTGTGTATATATATATGCTTGTGCACGTATGTGTAGTGTGACCAAGTGTAAGTAGAAGTAGCAAGACATACCTGTAATCCTGCATATTTTTTGAGACAGACAAAAGACACCAGCAATCCTACCATCATGCAAAACAATTACAGGCTTTTTGTTTTACACTCACTTGGCAGGATGGTAGTACCTCCCTGGGTGGTTGCTGTCTACCAACTTACATGCATTTATATTGGAAAAAAATGGCGCTCTGCTTTATGGCGGTAGCCTGGAACCTAACCTGCTTTATAAGTAGGCATCCTTTCCAAGATACGATACTATGTACCCCAAATGACACTTCTTACCCTCTACCACTCTAATATATCCCTACCTATCCTATGGTATTTGTTCCTGGGGATCAGCTACAGCCAACCACCTTGAACCTTTAATAACCCAACAAAAAGCTGCTGTGTGGATGATTACCAGCTCCTGTGCCAGATAGCACACCCCATTACTTTTCAAAAGCCTGAACCTACTAAATATACAAGACATACACTCGTATTATTGTTCCTACTACAGATACTGAAGATTAAACTCCAATATAAACCTTCCACTTAAACTTCTCCTTGATAGCTACAACAGAACAAACAGTCAACACAAGGCACAAGGCACTCTTCGACATCCCTTGTGTCAGTCTCACACTCTGCAAATATGCAATGCACATAAAGGGCCCGAACTTAATGTCTTCTTTTCTACTACAAGACTGAAACTAGCAAGCAAAATCCCAAATGTAAATACTCAGCCACAATACTACCTCACTGGTAATTACCCACATACTCTATCTAGCACCAACAAATCCTACTGAAGTCTCACTAATTAAATCATTAAAAAACAAGGCAGGAAACCTAAATAACCTGCCACCAATAATGTATAAAAAAGCAGCTCATATGCTGCCCCCCATTATTTCAACATTATTTAATATCTTCTGATGCAACTATAATTAAAATGAATTAGATAATGAAAGCATAATCAGAAGTAGCAAAATCACAAAGAACAACTTTAATGAATGTTACCATTACCGTTGTAACTAGTTCAACTATCATAACTTTGGGTCCAGTCCCTGGACTCATTATGTACCTCTGTAATTTTTTGACTACTGCCCACAAGATGGGTATGGGGTGTATAATAAAGATATTTAACAACTAATGAATGTGAAATTCATTACCCACATAATCAGACAAAAGAATACAATTACATAATATTAAACACAAACTACAATGAACATTATAAATGTATTACTTAAGTTTTTTTTTTTTTTCAACAAGTCGGCCGTCTCCCCCCAAGGCGGGGTGGCCCAAAAAAGAAAGAAAATCCCCAAAAAGAAAATCTTTCTCATCCAACCTTTCCCCTCACTCACCTTTATCACTGTTTTTGCAGAGGTGCCGAATACAACGTTTAGAACATACACAAAAAAAGTACACAACATATCCCCCCAAAACTGCCAATATCCCCAAACCCCCCTTTAAAAAGGCAGGCTTTGTCTTCCCATTTCAGGACTCAATCCGACTATATGAAAATAACCGGGTTTCCCTGAATCCCTTCACTAAATATTACCCTGCCACACCCCAACAGATCGCAGGTCCCAAAGTCCTTTCATCTCCATTCACCCCATCTAACATCTCATGCCGTTGCTGAAGTCCAACCCCTCCCCCACAAAACCCCCTTTACCCCCTCCCCAACCCTTTCGGGGACGACCCCTCCCCTCCCTTCCCTTCCCCTATAGATTTATATCTTCCATTCATTCTACTTGATCCATTCTCTCAAAATGACCAAACCACCTCAACAACCCCTTTTCGCCTCTGACAAATACTTTTTTTAACCCCACACCTTTCCTAATTTTCCCAACCTCCAATTTTCTCTAATATTTACACACACATTGCCCTTAAACGGGACACTCCACTCCCTCCAACCGTCTCCTCGCTGCTGCATTTACCCCCCCAAGCTTCCACCCATATAAGGTTTTTGGTACTACTATACTTTCATCATTCCCTTTCTTTGCCTCCTAGAAACTTTTTTTTTTGACTCCACATACCCCTCAACGCACCACCACCTTTTTTCCCTCACATCTATGATTAACCTCATCCTTCATAAATCCCTCCGCCGCACCAACTCCCAAGTATCGAAAAAATTCACTTCTTCCTACTCCTCCCCCCCAATTTGATATCCATTTTTCTTTATCAAATCTTTTAACCCTCATCACCTTACCTTTTCTATGTTACTTTTTAAATTTCTCCTTTACACACATTTCCCCCAAACCATCCCCCTAACCTTTGCAATTTTTCTTTTGAACCCCTAACACGTATCTCACAAAAAGTAAAGTGTCAATTCCATTTTTTAATTTTTTTTCCCCCAAAAATTTTAAACCCCCCAACCCCTCCCCGAAATCCAGCATTTACTTCCTTTACAAACCCCATCATAATTATTAAACAAAAATGGTGACATTACACTCCCTGTCTAAAACCTACTTTTAAACCCGGAAGTATCTCCCTCTCTTCTCCAAACCCTAACCGAGCCTCACTATCCTCATAAAAACTCTTTACAGATTTTAAAAACTTAAACCCCCATTCCTACACTTTTAACATCGCCCCATGCTCCCCTATCCACTCTATCATATGCCTTTTCTAAAACCATAAAATGCAATAAAAAAATTCCCCTACCTTTATCTAAAACTGTTCACATTATCTTCAAAGTAAACATTGTCTACACATCCCCTACCACTCTGAAACCTCCTTTCTCATTCCCCAAACCAACTTCTGTCTTACCTCTAATTCTTTCAATTATAACCCTACTGTACACTTTTCCTGGTATACTCAGTAAACTTATTCCTCTATAATTTTTACAATCTTTTGTCCCCTTTCCTTTATATAAAGGGACTATACATGCTCTCTGCCA